TCACTCACTCACTCACTCACTCTCTCTCTCTCTCTCTCTCTCTCTCTCTCTCTCTCTCTCTCTTTCTCTCTCTATTTATATATATATGTACCAATTAGTTCGCTTCTGATGAAGCTCTGGTGCATTGCATTTTGAATTTTGTTTTGAGTCGCATGATGTTCAATGTGACTCATGTAACTCTGTTTTCTGAATTGATTCAAACATTCTAATTTGCTATATTTTCTGTTAAAGAGGCTTCGTGATTGATAGTCTGATTTGAATTTCTGATGCGTTGTGTTTGTTTTTGTATTGCTGTTTGTTATTTGCTTCATTAGTCATAGTTGATTTCTATATTGCTCTGTTTAATTCCGATTTCAAGCTCTATATTGCTGTGTATTGCTTCTCTACGCTCCCTACCAGCATGTTTGATTTTCTTTTAATTTGATCCTGTGTTGTACGATGTCAAATTTGTATCTCAATTTGGTTGAATTATTGTAGGGCTGTATGTGTTTGTATGGGAAATGATGGGTTTAATTTATGTTATTTTGACATTAATTGGCATAGATCTGTGTTTGTTTGGGGGGATTGAGATTGGAGTTTGTGGAGATGTTGATCTATTTATTATGTGTGGTTGATAGGAAAATAAAAGGTTGGAATTGGAAATTTTGATTCTTGTTCAGGGTGAATGGGGAAATTTGAAGGAAAATTTGCAAATTAGTGGAAACGACCCAAAATAATTGTAATTTTCATGGAGGTGCATGTGGGTTTGTGCTCGACATGTGGCACAACTCTCACTGCACATGAAAGTGCAATTATTTTGAGTTATTTTTTATTTTTACAATTCTTCCGTAATTAAAATTACTCAAATATCAATTGTATGATTAAATGTTTTATTTCTTTTGTTTTTGGGTGATCTGAGTGACCAAACAAGGGACCAGTGTTTGTAAATGATAAAATTACATAGCTAAGACTGATGCTAAGACTGATATTGAAAATTGGTGGGCGTTGGGTGATGTTTATTTATATGCCATTTAGGATTTGGTGTTGAACAATTTATTTATATGATTTATTTGTTTGTATTGTTTGAAGGATTTGCTTTGCCTTTTGGTGCATTATTTTGTGGACATCTATTTGCCATACCATTTTGCAATGTATTAAGTCATGCTAAGGTCAACAGTTGAGCTTTCCACACAATGTTAATATTTGGGTTGGGAAAGTTTGAATTTAGCACTACATTTCCCTGTTCGACAAACATTTGAAAGGAGTGGAATATGTGCTCTTTTTAGGATATGGAGTTCCTGTACATTAAATATTTACAAAACTTAAATCAAAGAGTAAAAAAAAGACGAGAGATACCGTGATGTTAAGCATCTTGCAAAGCTTTCTTCTGATGCAGCAAGTGTAGCAACGTGGCCAGAAAAAAAAAAGATTGAAAAGTGAATTGGAATCCAACTTTATTTTGGATTACTGACAACTTGAATTCCCCTCGAGCAGTACTGTAATACTATATTCTAAGGTATAGAACAACAAGCAAACTTAAGTAAAAACGAATTTTTAGAATCTTATAAAACATGATTTAATAGCGGTGCGGGTCGGTGCGGTTTGGAAGCAAAATAGAAACCGACGGATTGATAAATGTGTCACTAGAATTTGCCATTTTTCTTATCAAAAACCGGCGGTTCGATTGGCAAATAATAACAAATTTGCCTTGGTGGTGCGGTTCGGTGCGGTTTTGGCGGTTTCGGCGGTATTATGCACACCCCTACTTTTGGTGCATTATTTTGTGGACATCTATTTGTCTTCTGCTATACCATTTTGCAGTGTATTAATTCATGCTAAGGTCAACAGTTGAGCTTTCCACACAATGTTAATATTTGGGTTGGGAAAGTTTCAATTTAGCACTCACTACAAGAAATCAGCTTTTTAGGGACAAATTTGTTCCGTCTCTAAAAGTGTAATATTTGTTGGAAAAAACTTTAGCCAACAAATTTCCTCCATCATGAAGTTTGTCCCAAATGGCCCATCCGGAAAAGTCAAAAAATGACTTTTAGAGACAAAATTTTGCATTTGTCGCTATAAATAGACATTTAGAGAGAAAAATATGTGGTTGCAAAAAGTTTTGATTTTGAGACAACCAAAATTTGTCTCTAAAAGTCTAATTATAGTCCAAGCCAAAAGAAGTAGTTATGGAGACAAAAAAATTAATTTTTGAGACAACACAAATTGGTGTCTAAAAGTTTTAATTTTTGGAACAAATGATAGTGGTTCCTAAAAGTTTTAGTTTTTAGGACAATTGAAAGTGGTGGTTAGAAGTTTTAGCTTTTGGGACAAATAAAAGTGGTGGCTAAAAGTTTGTTAAAATTTTTTTGAGACAACGAAAATTGGTCTCTAAAAGTTTGATATATATATATATATATATTTTTTTTTTGCTTTTTGATTTTGTAACAATTATTCTAAAAATACTAGTTTGAACATCAACTTATATTCCTTTCTTAATTTCTTAAAAACCAAACAGAAAATATCAAACATATCACCAGACCATCCGCTCATCTCCAAATTAAAATTCAACTACACCAAAAAAAAAAAAAAAAAAAGCGCTCATCGCATTCAATAACAAACAAATACCATGCTCTAATTCATTAGTACGTAATATCTTGATTGTATATCTGACAGAGATTTCAAAAGTACCATTTCTAATTTATAAGACTATTGCCATAAGCATTGTTTGTAACATTCAACTATTCAATGAACAAATTGTAATTGGAGTTATATCGACCTACATAACAAAACAACTCATCTCATCTTCTTCTCAAGGACTTCGTTGAAATGGCATTCAAAATCTAGCAGAGAGCTCCCAAGCTTCAAATCGACGCAAGCTTGCAGGACCTGCGTAGAACTAAGATCTTAGACTAAACTTGCAGGACATGATAATAAGAAACATTGAAGACATAATGCTTCCTCAAACCCCCACTCCCAAAAAAATTCGACACTCAAGAATCCAACAACCTAGCTAAAAGTTAAAACCAACAGATAGCTTTGTAATTTGTAGCGAAATTGATCAAATTATCAATCCAACAGCTTAGAAAATTGATTGTGATTCACTGCTGATATATTTTCATTACCCAACAAATGAATTTGTATAGAAATTGTGGAGATGTATTTTCTGAGTACCAACACGTGGCAAGGTGACGCCGATGTGTCAGCCGAGGTGCCACGTGTCTTGGTCGTTGTGCTGAGGTCATCTCGGCTAGGCTGAGGTTGCCTCCGAAGATATCGGAATCCGAGATAAGCGGATAAGGGACAAGAGTCCTAGAATGAAGAGGGAACTCAACTTATGGACAAGAGTCCTAGATTGGGAGAAGACTTCAGTTTGGGTAAAGATAAGACTCTTAGAGAGTTTATCCTAATCCCACTGGCAGTCCCAGATTAGCAGTAATCCTAAGTCCATTAAGGCCAGGTTCTTATTGGGACTAGGATTGTATTGGCTATAAAAGAGAGGCACCTCCATGGGTCTAAGGTATGCTTTTGATACTCAAGCTTGTGAGTTTAGTACTTGATTTATCTTTGAGAGATATACTGACTTGATTGTCGGAGTGCCCCCGGGTGGTCGAAACCACCGCGGGATTCTTATATTTCTGTTGCAGGTCAGTCAGGTGCCATCTATTCTGCCAGTGCTCTCCAGCTGGTTACTAAGCGGGCAGTGTGGTCGGAAAATCACCCACACAGAAATTAACATGCTATCATGCCTTGGAGACCTTACCTTCGAGAAACCATTCTGCTTGTAGCAGCAGAGGTGGCAGAGAAGGCTTGTTTCTGAACAACTTTGGCTATATCCAAAACTTTGTTTGCAGTTTCCAAATGGGTATGACCACATCAAATTATTTTCTTCGAATTACTGGAGTTATTAAGCATTCGGGTATAAAAATCACATGCAGATCTATAGCTGTATGCAAATGGGTATGATCACATCAGATTAGTTTCTTCAAAAGTTTGTTTATACTTCCTCTCTTCCTTATATGAGCTTAATCAAATAATCAACACAACAGATCTATGACTATATGCAAACACATATGCAAGCACAAAAATGCATTTAGAAATGGGGTATTGACTTCTGATATGTGAGTGTTGTGTTTCCATGCGAGAATAATGTGTAAATTACGTAATGCTGCTGTATAGAAACCCATGAAGGAAATCGAATGTAGATCTTAGAAGATGACTTACTAAGAAAAATCAGTAGAGGGCCCACTTCGACTGATCTGCTGCATCAAGAAGTCGACTTTGGCATTGTATTCCGTGAGATCGAACTCCAAGATTTGAATTCTTCCCACCAGCTCCTCATCGATTCTTCGTTGCTCTTCAGCCTCCCTTGTAGCAGCCTCATTATCCTTCTCGAGTTGGGTACGAATACGTTTTCTAGATAATGTTGTATTTGGTTTTCGACCACGCCCTAAGCCTCGTATATAGCCAACTTTTTCAACTTATTCTTGCCACATCTCACGTATTATTAAATGCATAAGTCAGAGTACAAGGTAAAAGGAATTCCCAAGCCTATTTAGATTATCACAAGGTAAAAACAATTTTGATACATTTGCTAAAATTTCATGGAAGCAATTTGATTTAAAAAACAAATTTAAAAAACAAATGCCTAGATCAACTTTCAAGCAAACAGGGCTTCATGTTAGGTGAGGTTATACACTTGTAATCGTTTTCAAAAGTGAGACAATTTTATACAAAATTGAGACAATTTTATACAAAATTTTGACTATGAAAAAGTTAATCATGGTATCATAGGTGTACACAAATCTACATAACAATAGGGAACAATTCACTATCAACTGTATTGAAGCACAACAACATTGAATCTAGAACAGTTCACTATTGTAAATAAATTCCAGTTTATTGCATCACACAGAGACGCACAAATAACTATAACAAATACCTGAAATGAAGCATCATGAAGGGCCCGAGCAGCTGCCATACCGGCAAAGCCACCACCTATGGCAATGACTGAGGGTGAGGCACCATGTCTCCTCTCAACATTTGAATAGCAAGGAACTACAAAAAACAAAATGAACTTAGATTCTCATCTTGGGCCTTGGAGCTTAACTGGCACAAATTGATAAATGGTTCAAATAATGGCAAAGTCAGTGATTGGGCATGCTGATACACACATATTAAGAGTCACATTCAATGAACTAACATCACTATAATATGGCTCCACATCTACTTCCAATCACACTCTAGCCAAGTATAGAAGTTAAAAACATCTTGGTCATCATCAAGACAAAAACAGTTAACAGAAACAATGATAGACAACATATTTTACACATACACTGGACATGCTACCTATCATTATTCAGAAATGCAGGCAAGAAACAACTACGTAGAGGCAATTATGGACCACAAACACAAAAGAAGTAGCAAAGATATTAACTGCTGTAACAGAATCGTGGGTGAATAAATAGGCAAAGATAGATGGAAAAAAATAATTTATTTCTTAAAACAAAAATTGATCAAAATAATCTCAGATAAAGTATTGAAATTAATGTGTCATTATACCTAAAAGACATACAATGCAAATTTAACTACAAAAGATTTTTCAGTATCAATCTTGAGAGTTGCTTCTGTCCTGACATATCCCGCCTCAATTTCCATTTAAAAAAACTGAGTCCTTGCCTGAATGTTGAATCAAAGGCATGCCAATGTCATTGTTCACCCTTCCCCCTCTAGTTCTAGGTTAAAGACTCCATTTTTTTTCTACTTCTTAATTTTATGTGGATAGATACTTTCCAATGCAGATTTAAAATCTTTCAAAATGTACATAGATGAATAGCTCAAGAAGGTTGCAACCCATAATAAAATCATAATCTTCATCAAATTGTGAGTAATCCACACAAAATGGATTAAGTTAAGCCAAGAACAACATTTGGGAAAAAAGTTCACATCTACCCAAGAACATCTTAAAAATGGGTGTGCGCACTGCGCACTTTTAATCAATACAAACTGACACTCTTCAATTATGAGAGGATATATTGGATAAAAAAAATAGGGGATAAAAAGAAGTACCACTATCATAAAACTAGAACAATACCGAACAGTAAGAATTGGAAGGTAAACAACACCAACCAATAGCTGCTCAAGCAGAAAAATATCTTGCCCCCATAAAGACCAAAGCCTACGCACTACCCAGTAACTGATGATGATTTGATAGCAATGATTGAGAACATGATTTTTAAGTAGAAGACAACGGTACTGGTGGTAAGCCTAATATCAGCTTCTTTGGTCTCGTTTGTCATAGATTAGTTAAAAAGCCCCTACAAGTTGTCACATTAGTCTATTTATTTTTTTATACTTCTATTTTGTAAAAAAATCAACTAAAATAGTTAATTTTATCCACCATTTGGCTATAATGATGGCATAATTCAAATTACATAGCTATAATTTTTAAGAATAAAAAGCGACATACATATTCAAAGGGAAAGCATACCATTTTTTCGATTGGGGGATCCGCTACATCTATGCTTTTTAATCACGTATAAGGAAAAATCGAAAAGGAAAATGCATGAATTTTAGAGCAAGGATCCTCTAGAGTATTTTTTTCCTAAAATTTCCTAGAGTGGTGCGTTGTGTGGTCGAGATTTAATGACAAGTCACATCAATTTTTCAGCATTAAATCTCAACCACACAATACACCACTTTAGGAAACTTTAGGAAAAAAATACTCGAGGATCCTTGGTGTGAATTTTAATCTAATTGACAATTGAAGTATAATGCAAAAAGGAAAAGGCCAATGCATGATTTTCAACTAATATTATAACAATTATTCATATCACAGGCTCTCATCGGCTTATCAGACAAGTAATTATTACAAACTGACAGCTTAAAATCAGACCAGTCCATAATTCTCAAAAAATAAAAATAAAAATAAAAATAATAAATAATAAAAATAAATAAACCCACCGACAAAGAAAAATTAATTTTTTTAAAAAAAAAAAATTTAAAAAGAGGAAAAATTAAGAAAGAAATTGTGAACAAACCCTTGGTTAATTGGCGATTACTCTGTTCTCGCGACTCCATGATTAGACGACGATCGGCAATGATTAAAGAGATTACTGTGATTAAAATTACTTAACAACAGCAATAATAACGATATTAATGAGAAGTTCGCTCTAGGTTCCAAGGGTTTCTCAAAATTAAACAAGGTAAGAGGAGGCAATTGAGGTGAGTAATGAAGAATAAAAACGAGAAGGCACGTTATGAAGTGGTTTGAATTCGAAGAAGAGAACTCCAGATTGACCAAACAGCTCATGCGCCTATTTTTCTATACCTAACTCACACACACACTCTCTGTCTCTCTCAAAAAGCAATTTTGCTTTCTTCAATCAAAATCAATCTCTCTATCTCTCTCTATCTCTATGCATGTAAATTCACACACAAAATTGAATCCCGATCGGCCAAAATTGAGATCAGATGTATCAAAATTGTATGATTCTGATCAATTCAATGCGTCTGAGATCTGAAGAAAAATGCCAGAGAGGAAATGAGGAATCGTATGTGATGAGAGAGACAACGAGAGAGTTCTAGAGAGAGAAAGTTTGCACGATGCTTTGGGTTGGAAATTGAATCGGCTTATTGGGTTACGACGGTACGTGTGTGCTTGGGCATTTTATAGAGATTTTTTTTGTGTGAGGAAGTATAGCAGTCGCGCGTGTATGGTTAAGTGAGTACTCGCTTGTGTACCGAGAGAGAGATTTTGACACGTACCAGGCGAGATGGTTTGCTACAGTATGTTGACGAAACACGCTAATGTGTGGACAACAGCCGAAAGCAGCGAATATAGTGAGGGTTTTTGAAGGAAGGTTCCACGTGGTAGGAGATTATTTGACGGAAGTGTAGCGTAGGAGATGTCATCGTCATGGACGTGGACAGATGAACAGTGATCCGTCATATTCTATTGCGTAATAAAGCTACTCTAATTCGGAATTTAAAGCCTAACATTAGATCTCCCAAATAATTTATTAAGAGATTGTTTGGGATGACTTAAATAATTATATTTTTTATCTTTTTATGAAAAGATGTGCAGAAAAGTAGAGAAGTGATGTGATGAAAAAAAGATAAAAAAATAAAAATATGGATTATTTTTGGATTGCCAAACTCGACCTAAATATTTTATTAAATTTCTCATATGAGGGTGAGACTCATATACATGTGGATTTATGTGAGTCACACACTTATATACGAGATTTAATAAAATATTCGGTAAATTATTTAGGACCTCTAACATTTTTCATTGTTGGATTTTGGGTAGAGTTATGCCAGGAACTCTAAATAAATTACTAAATTTTTTACCAAACTTCTCATAATGTGTATGAGTCTCACACCCATGTGAGAAATTTGATAAAAAAATTTGATAATTTATTTAAGATACATAGCAATTTCCTTTTGGGTAAATTATATTAGGAGAATTTTAGTATACATATTTTATATTACATTTATTTTTAATTGAGAAATTCATTTATAAATTCTATTTAAAGGATTTATAATTCAATAAGTTCATAAAGTTTATAAAGTTTTCTTATGTTTCATCTAATCTCATATATTTAGATTTGTATTTTAGGAGGTTATTTTTTCCTTATTTATAATATTTTTAGGATTAATATACCCTTTGTTCTATTTTTAATAGTAAATATTACACATAATTGTAATATTCTTGTTTCCTTTTTCTGTTCTATTTTGACAATTTTGAAATTAGTGGGATAAATTTCTTTAAAAACTAAATATCTATTATAAAATTATAATATTGGCCAGAAAACATGGTTAAAAAAGAATCTTACAGCACAAAGAAACTTCCTCCCACACTCTCTCTCATGCTTTCTCTCACATACTCTCTCTCTCTCTCTCTTTCTCTCATTTGCCTGTTTGAGAATTGGGAAAAATCACAAAACAACAAAAACTCAGAGAGATAAATTGAGTGATGATCATCAAATAAATAAACAAAATAGAAGAAACCTATAAAGATGCTCATCATCATCATCATCATTCTTCTATTGTTATAGTTCGAAACTCTGTGTTTTTTCATTGTTACAGTTTGAAACTCTATTTTCTTCCAATAGAGAATCATTTTTTAACTCCCATGAAATTGTTCATACTCCTCAAAAACCAATTAAACAATGTCAAAACAATTTCAAGGGGACATGTCGGCCTACATTTCTCCTCTAATTCGGCCAAAGGTATAATTCTACATCCAAAGTTAAATATACATGATGAAACAGATCTTTCACATTTAGATTCTCTCCATTACATAGTTGAATGAAGATTATCCATTTCAATATATAAGGTTATAACACATCAATAGTTTGTAACCCTCTCACAAAATTTAAACTAGATATTCAATTGAATTAGAGAGAATACTATCCTTTATACCAAGTCCTTGCATGTAGGCTTCAAAATTCTGGCTAGCTGTAGGCAGCTTTTCTCTCCTATGTTTTGATCATCTTCCATCTACTCTCTAGCATCAAATGACCTGCAAAAGAAAGCAACGACAAATTGACAATGATAACTGATAAGCATCATAAAAATTGATTTAAAACTCACTGTCCCATTAATTATCCTTAGTGGTTCATCTTACCAAAATCCACCAAGTCAGAAAAGTTTTACAATTTGTTTTCTAGTGATTTGTTCTTTTGATGATTAATATTCCAAAACAAGAAGTGTACAAAACAAATCATAAATATTAACCCAAGCAATTTGATTTCCCCAAACATTTAAACTTCACTGTCCTCTGTTTGCTAAAGCTTGTCCAGAGGTCATCCAATAACAATGAAGATTGACATTATTATGGCAAGACAACCTTTTCAATGTGACAATAGGTGAATTTCTAGGGAAACTTGAATCTGACCTGTTCGGCAAAAGCTTTTAAGATTGATTTTTTTATAAAAATTAGCATCTATTTCATTCACTTTTCCATCTCATTTTCTATTTCCCTCCACAAATCTCTCTATAAATCCAAGGACCAAACACAGTCAAAAAAATTCTCTTGATTAGAACTTTATTTGAATGTTCTCATTGTTCCCACGTAACATAAGACGGCTCATCTGGCCAAGTAAAGAAATATGGAACCTGGTTTGTGTTTCTCTTTTAAACTTTCTTCAATAGGCTCTTTTTCAGAGTCTTTAATGGTAGTCTTAAAGTACATCCCACCTAGACAGTTGAAGATGAAACCTACTCGCTTAATTAGATGAGGGCTTCATTCAACAAAACAACCCCTACATAAGTTCATTCAACATCACTACATCTCCTTAGAAATATAATCAGAAAGGAACATAGGTGCACATACATGTTGCTATTTTAAGAGAATGAAACAAGAAATCAATACTTTGATTTTGTTAGATGCTCAAATCCATCCAGTTGATTAAGAAGCTCCAGCATCGTCCGCTGCACTTCACTATCACCATTAAAGTTTTGTTTGCTATCTTCTTTGAGTTCCCCTGTTATGTAGTAGGCTTCATACTTTAAATTTGCAACATACTAAATAGCCAAAAAGTCATTACAAAAAACTCAACTATTCTCTTTACTTTTCAGTAGGTCTTTTCGTAAAACGCTAAAAAGCTAATTAAAATAATCAATTCCAAAACAACTTTACATAATCCATCCAAATTATAATGAAGTGGAACAGTTCATTTTTTGTTTGATATGTAGAGTAGTACAGAAGTTAAGAGAAACAAACTATAGAAACCTATCAATATTTCATTTTTTATATAAATAAAATTGTGTAAGTGGAACAGCTCAAGATCAAAAGATGGAATTCAATCTTCACCTCTTCCTACAATCTGAACTATGTCAAAGTTGATTGCCAAATAAATTTGAGTAAAAGTTGATCTAAAAATAGAACCATGTCACTTAGAACTAAAATAATTAGAAAAAAAAAATCCACAGATCAATGTTATAATAATAGATCCTAATGTTCGGAAAACCAAATTCAAGTATAAATTGAAACCAAACAATACGAGTTAAGAGCAAACAAACTGAAGAAACACAATCTCTCGAATCAATGTAATGCCGAAACAAACAAAAAGGAATCTGAACTGTGAGAAGCGGAAAAACCATCAAAAAATGACAATTGTTCGTCTAAATTTCTCAACTGTAAATTTACAAGAAATTAACTAAAAACGAATGAATCGAAGACATAAAAACATCATCGATTTTGTATAAATTTTAGCTCAAATGAATAATCGATTAATCGATCAAACCTGTGATTGAAATCGCTGAAATAGCTGTTGAGAGAGATCAGATTAGGGATCGAATTGTCGGGGACGAAATCCACAAACCACCGATCAGAGTCTCTGAGAGCAGGGATGAAATCAACAATGAAATTAGGCGAGAGAGAGAGAGAGGTGTGGAGAGGAAATGAAATCCCGATTATAATTGAGCAAAGAGTGAAGATATAATAAAAAAATGTATGAGTTAGGTTTATTGGCAACCAAAGAAAGTGGTATGCAAAACTCATTAATAGCTATGTCTTAAAAATATAATAATATGATTAAGTATTTCTTTTTTTAAATTTCTTTATTTTGTCCTTAAAAGTCTAATTTTTATAGACAAATTATTTTTGTTCCTAAAATTGTCTTTAAAACCTTGATTTCTTGTAGTGACTACATTTCCCTGTTCGACAAACATTTGAAAGGAGTGGAATATGTGCCCTTTTTAGGATATGGAGTTCCTGTACATTATATATACATATATTTTAACCTTGAATTGTTTCCTTTGCCTTCCGAGGAATGTTGTATATTGCTGATGCTTTTTTTATGTTTCTGGATGATTTGTGTTTTTGGCTTGAGGTTAGTGCACTCTTGTGTACTCTATGTGTACTTTGATTGTGCCCCCTATGGCACTTTTTTCTTATCTTTTACTTCTCAAAAGAAAGAAAATTATGGACTAATCACTCTCACTCGCTAATTCATTAATTGCTAATCTAAGTGCTGCCATTAATTCATTCTCTTGTAAATTGAGTGACTGATAGGCAGTAAATTTCGCTGCATTGCACATGTATTTGGCATCTTATGAGTTAAGTGGCTGATAAACAGTAAATTTTTGTTCATTGCACATGTATTTCATTTGAAGCTTATTCTAGATCAATCTTTCAGGCCTTGAAGCTGTTTTAGCAAACGGCACTGTTCTTGACATGCTTGGGATGCTACGTAAAGATAATACTAGGTATGACTTGAAGCATTTGTTCATAGGTAAAAAACAGTTAACATGGTATAATTATTTTTTTCTTTCTTTTTGGTCTGTTCAGTAATGCACCAGTGCTTCGTATTTGAACTAAAAAATCTTTCTTTTATTTGCATTACATTATTTAACTGCATTAGAGAGAGATTCTTCAAAATTAGAAGGTTTAAGATTAGTAGGACCAATATCAGTCTGAAACATGATTTTGGTAAAGAAAATATAGTTAAAAATGCTGGAGATTGTTAAAAGGCCAAAGGTTTGGAATTCTTGATATCTAGTCTCAAGTTCTTGCCTACAGAATCAGAGTATGTCTTCAACTAGTGCATACATTTTATTGATTATACCCTAATGATGCTCTAATACATTTTAGAGTATGCCCTTCAACTAGTGTTAGTCTCAAGTTCTGAGCATAATTGAGTACAATACATAAATAGTGTGCCTAGCATTGTCAATCCTCATGATTTTGGACCAAGGGCATTAAAAAAAAGAAAAAAAAAAGAAAAAAAAAAGAAAAAAAAAAGAAATAATTGATTACCTTAATTTTATTTTGGGAATCTTACTTTGTGTAAAAAGTTTGCGGCTCTGCTCTTTTCAAGTAAGGCTGGTGCAAATCCTATGATGTTGATTTTTTTTCTTACGTATTTTAGATGTGAAAATTTTACATTTAAAGTTGTCTTTATTTGGCGCATTCGTGAGGTTCTTCTACTTTACATGTTTGTTTGTATTGGCAAGTCTTTCTTTAGCAGTGTTGAGAGAGTATGGTACGTTGGACATACATAACTTGATTATTTGAATTTTAATATTCATATAATGGTTTTCACTCTATATTGTGCTCCCATTAGTTGTAACTTCTTTCTCACCTCTCACTGGATATACCTTAGAGTTATAACTTGATAAGTATTCATGTAAAATTGACTTCTCTTTCTCCATGTTGTGCTCTTATTTGCTACTGCTTCTCTCTCACCTCTTGTTCAACATATCTTACAGTCATGAATAGGTATGCCACTATTTGAACAAACATTGAGTAGGCCATAATCTAATTTGGAATTGGTTGTTGCGGATAACTTCAATTTTTGAGCAGTAATTTTTGCATCTTTGAGAATATGATGGTGCTCTAGGACTTTTCTCAAACAGCATGATATGAGAGATCATGTCAATAAATCTGAGGTTATCGATTCTTTTTTTTTTTTTTAGAACAGTGAGCATCTTGATTCTGTTCTTGATGTTGTAAGGAAGGAGGTTGAGAATTGTGATTGCTTGCAAGGTATTTTCAAGTTCTTACAGGGTTTTTTTTTTTAATTTATTTATTTATTCATTTACCTTTCCATTATTTCTTAAGATGATTTTGGCTGCTGAAACTGATGCCTTTAATTTATCACCTATTACCTAGAAGATTTATTTGTTAGCTTGGTAGTAATTATATGATCTCACAATTGTAGGACCTTTCTTAATTTCTTGTTCTAAATTCCAAGATCACATGTTGAAATTAGAAGAACATGAAAGTGTAAAAGAAGTGTTAATGTCGCATGGTTTGGTAAGATAAAGAGAAACCATGAGGCAGTTGAGAAACTTCCATGGATAATTCTTGCCTAATATGCAGTCAAACTTAGTTGAGAATGAAAATGAATAGAGATAAGACAAAACAAGCATTCTTGTTAGCCTTTGCTGCTACATACTTTTTGATGTGTCCGAAAATCACTTTTTTGTTCATAGCTTAACATGTTCTCTCTATTTTGCTCATAATCATATTGCTCGTGTTGCTTTGTATGCTTGGGCTTGTGAATTTTGATTGTTTAGCACCTAACTATCATCTATTAGAATTTAAAATGAATTTATAGATATTGTATAGATCATTGTTGCTATTTTAAAGCATTCTTGAGCTCCGTTTTTTTTCCTTGGATTAATACTTGAGCTACTTTGCTCTCTCTCTCTCTCTCCTCCTCTCTCTTAAAGTAGATGACGAAATCAGAAGATGTTTGTAATCTCAAGAATGCCTACTCTTCTTCCGACTCTGTAACAAGACTCTGAAGGATTCTTAAAATCAGAACTACTGTAACCTCAAATGTTCTTTGTAATTGCAAGAGATGAAACACCTTTGTAGGATTATTTCAGGAACTCCTTGTTATTGTTACACACTTTTTTTTTTTTTTTTTCCTAAAGAAAGAGAATTTTATTAAGGGAAGGAATGGAAAATAATGCATGAATGTTGAGATTTTTACAAATATGTCTTTACATTTAATGTATATAATATTTGACTATATATACATATATATGATTGTGGTGTTTTTTTTTTTTTTTGCAACGGTAAGAAGATGGTCGCTAATACATTGTAGGCATTTTTAAAACTTTTTTGCGACGACAAAAATATCTGTCGCTATAAGTCGGTTAGGCGGTCGCAAATAGTTTGCGACTGCTATTTTGCGGTCGCAAAAAGTATTTGCCACCCCCAAATTCGTGACCCTCATTTGCTGTCGCATGGGTCGTCGCAAAAAGTCTTTTGCGACTGTTTTTTTTTATTATTTGCAACGGCTTGTAGCGGTTGCAAAAAGTGATTTTTTTTTTTTTTTGGTAGCGTTTATAGATGTCATATATATAATTGTATAATCAAAGTATGAATTGTAATTTTAGTCTCATACGTAAGTATAAATTTATAATTTTTTTGGCTCGTTATGGCACGTGAATAGCTCGATTTCAGTTCGTTAAATTTTTATTGTGTCAAACTTAAGCTCGTTAAAATCTTAATAAATAAGCTCAAACATACTAATGCACAACTCAACTCGACTCGTTTATAGCCCTATTTTACATATAGACTCTACAACACACCATTCAATCTCTAACGCACACAAATTTTAGGCACATCCCAAACTTAATATTTTGTGTAAGTTGGAAACTGCCTACATAAATTTGTGGTGCTGTTGGTGACAACGAAAACTTGAACCTTTTTCTACTCCCTTTGAATATTCTATCTTGAAGGTTACTTGTGTTTGATAATGGTTGTGGTGATAGTGGAGAGATGGTGTAGTGGATGTAGTGATGGTATTGTTGAAAATTATGGTTTTTTATAGGCTTATTTTGGGCCAACTTTAAGCCCAAATTTGAGTGGGGCCCACACGTCTTTTGGGGTGGGTCTGGAAAGGTGACGTGTTCCTTGCCACATGGCAAGTCATACGGTGCAAATGGTTCGCCAAAATCATTTATGAGTGAATGAGAACTTAACGTCGTTTTCGGGTTTATGAAATAAAAAATTAAAGAGTCAAATGTGGGTTACTTTAAAATGATTGTCCCACATTGAAACTTTAAGAGGGCTTGTATGTGTACATAAGTTTTAGGTGGACAAACTTAGGTTGGGCTCCAAGGAACGCCCCAAGTTTGTAGAAAGGAGAAGTTATGGACAAAGTAAGCTTTGGCTCAAACCACCACATGCGCACCATCGTTGCCATCCGTCTGGTCGTGTCCAAGTTGTGGATTGAGTCCTAACAAAAATTATTTGAATTTCTAAACAAAATTAATTAAAACTTTTGCACCAAATTTGAGTTTAAATTTTCTGTCCAAACAATGCCTCTTTCCAGTCCACAACCATTTTCTAGTAGATTCAAACAGATTTTCAAACTGTTTAAACAAATTGCACTAGACAGATTAAATTTCTTTCCCAAACAGATTCAAAACTGGTTTAACAGATTGCATTGGTTCAATTAAAAAACCTGACCTATTCAATTTGAAACCATACCTATTTGGTCCTTCCAAAGAGTCACTATTTAGCCTATAAATACAAGATCTCTTCCAACAGTCTAGAGCATCTGAAAATTCTCTGTTTGCCTTCCATTTTGCTCTCTTGTATAGATATATTCTTCATATTAGTTTTAGACAAAATTCTGAGAGTATAGAACACATGTTCTAGTTCGCCAAAACAGATTGTTTTTAGTGCTAATACAATCTATGTAAGATCATTATATCCTGGAAAATAGACGCCATTATTCTTTAAGCACCTGAGCGGGGCAAATCTATCTTAAGAATAGAGTGTCACACACTCAACTTGATTATTTTTTTTCTGAAGTTGTTTCGGTAAATAAATTTTGTAAGTAATTTATTTTATTTATTTGATTTGTTTCAAGTTATTTTTATTATACATAGAAGATTGTTCCAACAGGTATATGTAGTGATTTGATGGTGGTGGCGGTGGTGTAGTAGTAATTAGGACTGCAAACGAATCGAGCTGTTTATGAATAGCTTG